GACGGGAGGGAGGACAAATAGGCAGAGCACAGAGGATTTTCAGGGCAGTAAAACCAGTCATTAGAATATACCACACCAAGAGTCATCCCTGGTGTAAACTGTGGACTTAGGGCAATAATGATGTGTCAGCGTAGGTTCAACGAACGTACCGGCCTGGTGCAGGTTGTTGATGGTGAGGGAGGTTGTGCATGTGTTCCGGCAGGGGTTATACGGGAGTGCTCTGTACTTTCCACTCAATTTTGCTGTGAAGCTAAAACTGTTCTAAAAAATACAGTGTAATAATCAAAAGAGAAAACCACAGTCCACTATCTTTCATGAACTCAGATGCACACACGCACGCACGCACATGCACACGCACACACACATTATAACAACCGGGAGTGTACCGAACGTGCTTTTAGAAACATGAGCACCTGCTTTTGAAAGTTTGACATCCTGTTACAGCTAACATGACATCCTGCTAGAATATACACTTCCTGAGGGTTCAGTGTTGTTCCTCCAGCGCCTAGACCAGCGCCTGGCACGTTGTAGGTGCTCAGTAAAATACCAGGGACATGAGGGAAAGATCCCGTTAGTCCCCTCACCTACTCCATGAGTATTGACCTTCCCATTGGCGCAGCAGCTGGGAGACAATAAAGAATTCGCCTCCCATCCCTAAGTTGGGAAGCGGCAAGTGTGGGATTTAAAGCCACCTAATTGGCTGCCACAGCTCAAACACCTCTGACCTCTCTACGCTGGGCAACTGAGCCCACTCACGACTCTGGGGTTCTGGGAGATGGTCATCTCCTTTGGGCGGGGCTGTGGTGGGTCTTCCCCTCTGTAAGAAACCAGGGGAAGGGTGGGCTCCACTCCCGAGACGAGGGGCGAGCAGCGGAAGTTGCAGGAGGCAAGATATCCAGGGACATTTGCAGGACTGAGGGAAGAAGTCAGCCTGCTGTATGTAAATATGCCAAGAGGACAAGAGCCTTCCCGCTCACAGGGTCTGGGGCCGAGCTGGTGGGAAAGGAGACTGAGGGGCTTGACAGAAGCCTCAACTGTCCCAGCAGACATACTGAGGAAGCAAGCTTGTGGTATAAATAAAGGAAGAATGAAGTATTCAGTCACTGAGTATTTGCTCCCCATTACACACATATACCTACACACAACCCCCCCCCACAAACACACCCTCCAACATTCGCTCATGCACACACTCACAGACCACACACACACACACACACACACGTCACCGCGGCCCACATGGCTTGACTCTATTTTCTTGGCATTCCCAGCCTCCAGAACTGTAAGAAGTAAGCGTCTGTTGAGTAAGCCACCATGATGTTTTGTGACGGTAGCCCAAGCCAGTCAACCCCACCAACGGCCCACAAGCCCCTGCACTATCTGGCTCGTCTCCCCCTTTCTGAGCACCTCTCTGACTCCTCTTCCCTGGCTCACTCCATTCAGCTGCCCTGGCCTCCTGACTACTCCCTGAATGCACAGAGCACAGTCCTACCCCAGGGCCTTTGTACTTACATCCATTCTATGAGGAAGGCTTGTTATACTTCCAAGGCAGACGCCTTTGCTTCCTTCCATCCTTTATTCAAAAGTCACCTTCTCAATGAGGCTGGCCGGGAAAACCCTTTAGAATTGCAACTCACCTCCCCCACCCGGTACTTCCCACCTCCCTTACATGTTCTACTTTGTCCTCTTTTTGCCATGCACTCACCCCTTCTAACTTACGGTATTCTTTATTGTTTATCATCGATTGCCTGTTACCTCCTGCAAGAACGTAAGCTCCAGAAGAATAGAAATATGTGTCAGTTCTGTTCACTGATGAACCCCAAGTGCCTAGAACCATGCCTGGAACACGGCTCCCCCTCAATACGTGTTTCCTGATTGAACGGATGGACCTCTTCACCGCTGGCGCCAGGCCTGGAGACCGTGTCATACCAGCGTTGCCCAGCAGATGGCAGCCGATTCACGCCAGAGACAGCTGGGAGCCTGCACTCTTGAACTCCAGGTTCCTCCCAATTAAATCCAAAATAACAAGCCAGGAGACAAAAATCCGGTTTAATTTACTCTTAATGCAGCCTTGTATTTGTGAGAAAGAAGTTGTAGGTAGAGGGTGAGCTGCTGAGCTGATAAAGCGTTTATCTAATACGAGAGACTGTTTACCCACAATTCAAGGGTAAAAAAATGAAAACAGCTGTCGAGAAGAACCAAGCAAGGTCAGAGTCCTCCCACGGTGGGGGAAAATGGGGGCGAAGAAGGTTTGTGGCCCCGGATCTACATCCCTCCTCCAAAGGATGGAAAAGTGACGCTGGACCACTACAACCGAGGGAAAGAAGGAACGCTAGAAATTAACACGGCACCTGGGGAGTGGAAGTTTCCCGGCTTCCTCAGAAGGTGCCAGAAGACGCTCTGTTACAAGAACCTTGGGTCTCGGTCTGCAACACCGTCCTCTGGGCCCCCGCCAAGCCGCCCGCTTCCTGGGTGCTTCCGTCACTCGTGTCATCAGGGAGACGAGTTGCAGCCGTAACCAAGTCTTCAGAAGCCAAGATCAGGTGCTCCTGCCTTTGATCAGACTCAGCCTTTGAGTGAGTCAGGTTAGGGGGAGGCTCCCAGGCAGACACTGCTTGCGAATCTGCGTCTGCTGACCCAGAACTATCCAAGCCAGCTGGTCAACCCGGATGCCGCTACAGTGAGGACGAGAGCTGCAGGTACTGGGTGCTCCCCGTGCGCCAGGCATGCGCGGAGGGCACCGCCTGCATGATCTCATTAGCCCTCCGAGCAGCTCTCTGAAGCCCATGCCGTCCTCGTCCCCATCTCACAGATGGCACAAGAGAGACACCGCCTGCCCAAGGACCCAGTGAGTTGCTCTCCAGCTCACTCTCAGCCACTGGGAGGGGGGCATCTGCTGAGATGCACCGTGGATCCTGACGAACTTCAGGGAACAGCTGTGAGGCCCAGAGAGGGGGAGGGAGCCGCCCAAGTTCACTCGGAGAACTGAGAAGCCCACCCACGCTTCTATGCACCAAGAAGTATCCTGCACCTTAACATCCCTGACTCGTGTTGGGAGGCCACCCCAATAACCAAGTCGCAGGCTTTTATTTTGCGCTCGCAGATTCCAAATTGGCTCCAGTCCCTGCTGGCACTACGCACTTCTGCATAAGCTCTTGTCAAAACAACAACACATCTCAGTTTAAGAGTTTCATCAAATTCAGGAGCCTCTCCAGCCAGGCGCACTGGCCTCTCGTGATGTGAATTCTGGCTTCTGTGGCTCGTTGGCCGATGTTCTTGGTCAAGCCACTCAGCCGCTGAGCCGGTTTGTTCATCAATAAAATGGGGATAACAACATTCACAAAAGGGGGTGTTATAGGCCCGTGCTAACACAAATGTAACAGGAGCCACAAATGCAAGTCACAGCCGTAATCTGAAGTTTTCTAGTAGCCACTTAAAAAAGAGATAAAGGAAGGGCGCCTGGGTGGCTCAGTCAGTTGAGCGTCCGACTTCGGCTCAGGTCATGATCTCGTGTTTCACGAGTTCGAGCCCCGCATCGGGCTCTGTGTTGACAGCTCGGAGCCTGGAGCCTGCTTCGGATTCCGTGTCTCCCTCTCTCTCTGCCCCCTCCCTGCCCACGCTCTGTCTCTCTCTCTCTCAAAAATAAATAAAGAAGGTCAAGGGATCAGGCGAATCAAAGTACATTTATGCTCCGTTTTTCATTTTTCTATTTGGTTTCGTTTGACCCAGTATATTCAACATATTATCATTAAAATATCTAATCGATATACAATTGTTAACAAGATACTTCGTGTTTGATTTTCTCTCCAAGTTTTCACACTCTGGTGTGGATTTTGTACTTACACCTCATCGTAGTTTGGACTAGCCACATTTCAAGTGCTTAATAGCCCCGCGTGCAAGTGGCTACTGCCCTGGATGGCGCTGATCTTGGCCTTGATAAACATTGTGAGCACACGGCTCTATATTTTAAGAGCCTGTGTGTCTCCGCCTTGTCTGGGACAGACCGACTTCATGGAGCCTGAGGATAATCTGCTGGGACCCTGACAGGCCTGGAAGGTCTGCCTTTGGGCCCAGCAGTGGAGGTGATAACCCCCCAGGTCTTTCCTGCTCTGAGCAGGTCACTGGTGCCTTTGAAAACCTTCCCTCCCCAGATTCATTTCCTCCAGGGTCACACACGGGACTTCCGCACGCTCTGCAAATCTTCGTGTCCATTTTGTCCTCGGTGTCGTCGCCGGGAGTGTTCATAACAACCGCACAATAGACGAAAGCCCAATCGGGACCAAGAGCGGAGAGGAGGGCGAGGCGACAGGTGGCGGGAACTGTGCCCTCCCTTCCCCCGTGAGATCTGGGGCCCAGGGCTCTGGTCACCGTGGCGCCCAGATGTTGTCCTTGCTTTCCAGTTTAGAACATGGCCTCGGGGCGCCTGGGTGGCGCAGTCGGTTAAGCGTCTGACTTCAGCCAGGTCACGATCTCGCGGTCAGTGAGTTCGAGCCCCGCGTCGGGCTCTGGGCTGATGGCTCAGAGCCCGGAGCCTGTTTCCCATTCTGTGTCTCCCTCTCTCTCTGCCCCTCCCCCATTCATGCTCTGTCTCTCTCTGTCCCAAAAATAAATAAATGTTGAAAAAAAAATTAAAAAAAAAAAAAAAAAAAAAAAAGAACATGGCCTCACTGCCCCTGGCTCAACTCGGTGGTCTGAACCGAAACTCGGTCTTTCCAAGGGAGCTCCCCCTCTGTTGCCAATATTTATGTTTCATAATTCTTCGGGGTCAGGGGTGCAAGTGCTCAGGGGCTGTGCTCAGAGAAACAGCCAAGGGCCCACCCACAGGGGGCCGAGGTGGGAAAATGGGACCGCTCTCTACCTGGGTTCCCCTGACACTGGTCCCTGGGGTTCAGGAGGGGGACCAGGTGCCTGGGCTGGGCCAAAGTGGGTGGGAGACCCAAGGTCCTGGGGCTCTGGTTTCCCATTGGTTTGGGGGTACTTTGCCACTCCCCCTTTACCTCCAGCTCCCAGACACTTCCTTGTCTTCTTCTGGAAGGCAGCGGTTGAGGGCCAGAGCTCTGCCTTCCGACTGCCTGGGTTCAGATTCTGACCCTGCCGCTTACAGTGTGACTCCAGCACGTTCCCAAGCTCCGTTCGCAGCGGTGTCCTCATCTACAAACGGGAGAATAACTCCCTCCCTGGGTCTGCTGAGGACTGAACGAGGCAATACAGGTAAGAGGTAGCATCATGGCAGGCTACTCTCAGTAGCTTTTACTGGGGAGAGAGCTGACCCCCCAGCACTTTGGCTGGTGCTCAGGATAAGAGGGCCTTCATGATTTTCTCAGTTAACTAATTTTATGGACTCAAAACACAGCCTTCGCGTCAATCCATGCTGCTAGAGATCAGAACGATCTCTGAGATATTTTGTTAAGTGAGAAAAGCAAAGCGCGAATCCCACAGCCGCGCTGTGGAACAGACAAGCGCGGCCTGTAGTTGGAATGATATGGAAATTACTCGTAGGCGGGGATTCAGGCGGGAGCCAGGGGCAGGGGCACGAGAGGGGTTGACTTTTCATGATCCCGACCCTCGTGAGATTCAACGTCACCGGAGTGGTACTGCCCCTTTCCTTCTCTTCGAGCATGCGGTCCTTTTTCCATGAAAGAATTACCCACTGAAAAGCTCTCCCTCCCCCCACCCCATTACAAAGGAAAGCATGGTCATCGTAGCACATTTCTGAATTTGGGAGAAGAGCGTGAAAAGGTTCTGTCATTTCATCGCTGGACGGGTGAAGACCCAAAGGTCCTACCTGGGGAGATGGTCTGCTGCTAAATTCATTGGCTGGGTATCACCGCTTAGACATCTGTTGGGATTTAATTGGGGCGAGAGGAAGAGACCAGAGGGGTTACTAGTGCCTGTGGAATCCCAACAAACAAAGCACAGCGCACACACACATACACACACTGAAGGGAGACTACGCACTACTCTGCACCTCTCGACAACCAAAGCACTTTACACACGCATGTGCACACACACACACATGCACACACACGCAGTAATCCAAAGGGCTTCACATACCCATCCAGTAATCAAAGCACTTCATATACACACACCGATGACCAAAGAGCTTCGCACACATACACGCCTGACCAACTGAAGGATTCACACACCCACCCACACCTTCCCCAACAACCAAAGCTCTCCATACAGACACCCCCCTGCAAAAGAAAAACCCAAAGCGCTTTGATGTGTTTGCCGCCACAGCAGATACTTGAACATCGAGACGTTGGGCAGCGACTTTCTTTTCAGATTAATGAACAGAGAAAGATCGAGGCTGGGGGGGGGGGGTGCGGGGAGGCGGGAGAGAGCAATTACACCTAAATCTTTTCTCTGTTGATTAGGGATTCCTTCTCCAGCCCGCTTTGGCTCCTGCTAAATCTTTTTCTAATGAGATGTGGCTTATCCAGATCAGAGCGCTGAGAAAAAAGTTGCAATTAACTTTAAGAAGTAAAGGAGTGAGTGAGAAGGGGGAGGCGGGGAAGGGGCTGGGCTGGAGGGCAGGGAGAGCGGGTGCAGGGGAGAGGCTCTCCTGCAGGGCAAAGGGGCCCAGGCCCAGCGCCATCTGGTCCATCCTCCATTTTGATTCCAGAGCTCAAGGAAAGTCCCTCGTGCCCCCTATCCCTGCCGGGTCAGGCCTCTCGGCCACTCCAGGCTCCGGTCAAGGGTTGGGAGTGGTGAGGGTCCCCGGGGCCTGGGCCTTCTCCGCTCCGCACCCCCAACACCTGGTGGGGAGGGTGGGGGGCGGGACCCTCTCAGCCATCTCTCTCACACCTGAGCTCTTCCTTCTGCCCACTTACCCCTGCAAAGACATGGGGGCCCTCGACGGCGTGCCAGGAACCTCCCTGACCCCGGGTGTCAAGTCAGCACGAACTTCCAGACTTGCTGGAGTTGGCTGGCTCTCTGTTGGCAGCCAGAAGCAGCGGTGCTGTCGTGCCTACGGCACTGAGAGCCACAGCTGGGGTCTCTCTAGCTCTCGACCTCGCTCACTGCTCCCAGGGGGCAGTCGGGCCCCAGCTATTTTCAAGTGAGCCGCTTAGAAGGGCAGAGAGGGTCTGGGATTGAAAGAGACACTTCATCTAGAAATGGTGAAAAAAAAAGGGGGCGCCTGGGTGGCTCAGTCGGTTGAGTCTGGCTCTAGATTTGGGCTCAGGTCACGGTCTCATGGTTTGTGGGTTCGAGCCCCACGTCGGGCTCTGCACTGGCAGTGTGGAGCCTGCTTGGGATTCTCTGTCTCCCTCTATCTTTGCCCCTCGCCTGCTCTCTCTTTCTCTCTCATAAATAGATGGATAGATAGATAGATAGATAAAATGTTGACGAAGCTTCCAGAAGCTTCCAGAAGCAACACAGAGTCACCTTCATTTGTTCCTCTATTGATACACTCAAGCTCCGCCAAGCTGCAACTGTAGGAGGCGCTCCCCCTCTCTGGCGCTCGGTTTCTCCATCTCTCGAGAAAAATAAAGACGGGGCCGTGGGCAGCAGATCTCCAGGGGGCTTTGCCAGTCCCGATGCCTGGAGATGGGCAGAAGCCCAGGCGGACTCAGGAAGTCCTGGTCGGAGGGGTGACACCGGTGCCCTGGCCCCCGGGCCCTGCCCTGTGCCCCCACAGGACACGGACCCATCCCTGCAAACTATTATCCACGCACAGACTGGTTTCTGCGCGATTTGGCGATCAGTATCCAGCAGGGCCTGAGGGCAGCTTTCGCAGATCTTGGCGTCTGTCTCTAGCCCAGTGCTTGGGGTGGGGTCTCAAATAATAACCTGGCATCTGCATGCCAGCCGAGCTGGGGACCCCACGCTTGCATCACCCGAAATTAGGAGAAGCGGGGTGGACGGAAGGCCAGGGGCGGGGCACACGCTCCACAATCTTTAGTCACACGGAGTCATATATGCTAAAAAGGGTCCAGGCAGACCGTCCGAGTGGATTCCTTCCCTCTCTCATCCACACCACATCTTTTCCCCACCCCACGGACCTCCCTGTGCAAAGGAGAAGCGGTTTTTATTGCGCTGCTGGTGACTCAGGGGGAAAAAGTGAATCCGGGGCCTCTGAATCTTGGCCCACCTGATGATTTGCATGGTTCCCAAAGGGGAAGGGCCTGCGAGTGTTGGTGGCCACCCAGAAACACAGTTCCCTCAGGAGGATATTTGGGTGACCCCTTACCTCATAAGCTGTGGAGATGACACCAGGCCAGGGGACAGATAAGCTAACCCCATTTTTTCCCCCGGGTCTTGAGTTCCCGAGAGGTCAACCTATTCTACAACCTTAAGGCCCAGGAATTTCCTTAGAGTCTGGTTCCCTGGGCCCCTGGTCAGCCCTCTTTTCTGCTTCTGCCTTCCACCCTGCTAGCTGCCGGAGACAACCCTGACTTTCTCCTATCTTTCTCTGGCTCGCCAATCTAATAAGCATATGTGCTAGAAATACTAGCTGGAGTGCTAAGTTAGAAATTCTTCTTAAACGTATAGTAAGGTCACATGAAGGGGGGTGGGGGGAAACCCAGAAAACAAAACACAAAACCCCGAAACAGAAATTGGACACAGGAGGGCAGATGTAGACTGAACAGGAAGTGCTGGCCCTAGGCTAAATGAAACAGCTGTCACCATTGTTCTAGACTGAAAACTGCCTTTGCAAACTCCACGCGGCCCAGGCTCAGAAAGCAGATGTTAATAATTACAGCACATGAAACGAAGGGCACAGGATTAGGCAAGTGACGAAAAAGAAATGGTACCAGTAGATTTATAACTCGCTCAGGCAAATCTGTTTGGGCTGGTGGGGGTGGGCAGGGCGGCCCCCTTGCAGATGCCCCCACCCAATCTCCTTCCTGGCTTGGAATTTTGGCTTCCGGGGTTGTCTCCAAATCAGGGGATCGTTTAGTCTATTTTAGGGTGGTGGTCCCCGGAGGCCTTTTTCCCAGCTGCCTTTCTGGGGACCCCAGGCCTACAGGCCACAGCCCGTTGCCTCTGATGTAAAGGAAAAAGATAGACTCCCCAATACCCAACCCAAGTACCCAAAGGGGATCTTTGGGCAGACCGAATCGCGGAGTCCGGCGGCTCACCGGCGAACGGGGACGCACAGACACGAAGCCGGGCAGCCATCCCCGGGGCTCTTGCTTTACCACGTTTAAACCCAGGAGCTCAAGTTCTTTGCAGCTGAAATTGATTCACACTTTAAAGTCAGCCAGCCCCCAGCGCCTTGGAGGAGGCAACGGGGCGCTGGGAGAACGTTGGGGCCGCTGAAGGAAGTGCGCAAAGCAAGTTTCTTGGGTTAATTACATAAATAGAAAAGTCAGAGTCTTCGCATGTTTTCTGAACATTCCTTGGTGCTTTTCCATGTGCGCCTGAGTTGTAAAAGGCAAAACAAAACACACACGCACATCCACCCCCAAATCCTCCCGTCCCACCACCCCCTGGAAAGGACGTCTCCAGGAAAGGTTAGAAAGAAGGTAAAGCATGTGTTTGCCATCTTTATGCCGATATGGAAACCATATGCTTAAATACACTAGCAAACATACTTAATATAACACTCTCTTTTATTAAATGTGGTTTTATAAACGCTCTCCCCAGCCAGGGCACCTTTGCTGTGCTGGAGGCTGGAACTTGGCAAAATAATCTCCCCGCTGTTACATCTATTGATACACATTTTTGGAAAATGAGTCTCGGACCCTCGGAAAATAGACTGGTTCTGATTATTATTGCAAGTGGGAAGGGGCACACGAGGGCATCTTTTTTCCTCTGATAAATGAAAAGAAGTGTAACGGGTGCTTTCTGCAACCTGTAAAAGGGCAGAGCCATCTGTGATTCATTTAGCAGCTCCTTACAGAAGATTTATTTGATTAATTCGGTCAGAAGAGAGAGAGAATATGGATTTTCCCCTGCTCTGAAAGGCACATACGCACTCACACATGCACACAGGCACCCACCCATGGGTAGACATCTCAGGAATGAAAAATGACTAATCGTGTTATTGGAACTGGCCAATGCGGGGCCCCGGCGGTGAGATAGTGGGCTCCCGCCCTGCCGATGGGAGGGCTGGTTTCGGAATAGATTTAATATCCTTGGGCCCAACGCCACCGAAGAGTGACCTTAGGGAATAATCCCATGAACCCTGGATCGCTTTTATCAGGTATTGATTACTGGTGCCAGGCTCTGTGCGCAGCACTTGGCACGTGTTACCTCATCGCACCGTTGCGACAACCCCTCCGCTTCCCAGACGGGGAGACTATCCCCATTATTAGCGGTCCTTGTTCAAAATTATTTTCACTTTTTTTCGGATGGTGCTTGGCTTTCTTAGTCCTCTATGCCTAAACCATGCGGAGAGAGGCCACAAATCTACATTCGTCTCATATTGGGTAATCTTGGAACAGGTCATCCACATTGGCTGTGCTCCGTGCCCCGTGGGTTCCAGTTCGGTGTAGACAGAGAAAGACTCCACTAGGGGCTGGAGGAGAGCTGGCCTCCTCTGGCCTTGCTTGTCCCTAACTTGCATGGCCCAACCCTACCCTATAAGCAACTGTCTGTAGACCACTGTCAATTCCCAGGGAGTAGGAACGGCCCTCGAAATGGGTCCTTGAGGAAGGCAAAGAAAACGGTGACAGTCAAGAAAAAGTATAAAATCATGTGAGATTGGAGCCAAAGAAGGCTTTGGATATCAACGTCAGGAGTGGCAACATCTGACAAGGGATTGGTGCCATGACTCTCCTTCCTTAGACATTGCTAATTGGTCCCAGTTCTCGCCCTCCCCTAAACCCTCAAAATCCTTCTGGACACAGTTCTCTGGGCAGCCTCTACCAAAAGATCAGAATTAGGGCATGAGTTGAAAGCTGTTGGTAGTCCCTTCCAGCCAAGTGTTCCATTTTGTGGCAGGAGAGATGGGCTCAGAGAGAAGTCGGCTACAAAGCCAGTTGGGAAGACAGTTCCCACTTCTCTGCCCACTAGTCCTTGAATCCACACCAGTGGGGCTGGTGGAAGCCAAGGTTCAGGGGGTCATAAACCTCTGTGTTCGGCTGAGTTTGCTCTCTCACCCCTACCCGGGCCACCCCCAAAGGATGTCACTAACACTGCTCTGTAGGCAGGATAAAAGGCATCCCCTGGAATGCTACAGAAGATTGAAATCTCTCCGTTACTTTAAAATAGTTAACTTCTTGGGACGCCTGGGTGGCTCAGTCAATTGAGTGACCAACTTCAGCTCAGGTCATGATCTCACGGTTCATGGGTTTGAGCCCCGCATCAGGTTCTGTGCTGAGAGCTGGGAGCCTGGAGCCGGCTTTGGACTCTGTGTCTCTCTCTCTCTCTCTCAGCCCCTCCCCTGCTTGCATTCTCTCTCTCTCTATTTCTCTCAAAAATCAATAAACATCATTAAATTTTTTTAATAAAAAAAATAAAATAGTTAGCTTCTAAACCAGGATAGGGTGGGGCAGCCTGAACCCACAATATCTGACAGCCTGGAGTCTAAGATTCTAGAAAGAAGTGGAAGTTTCACTCTGGAAACACTAGGGTCAGCAGAGACTCTGCACTCTGGTCTTTCCCACCTCTCTTCACTCGCTGGACCACAGGATCCAAGGCAACTGGCACTCGGCAGGCTGAAGGCTTAGAGTGCTTGTCTCGGGGGGTGGTCACACGGTCCTCAGACTTTTCAGCTAAGTGCAATTTCTCTGTGGGAAGATGAATGGTTGTGTGAACGGAAGGAGGCATCTCTAAGTTTGGAAGTTCTCTCCAAAACTCCTTTCCTGCGGGTCCTTCCCAAGACCCATCTGAAATGCTTCTCAGCCCTGTGTGGCCCAAGAGGGACTTTGAGGCTCACTATCTTGTTCTGCTGAATCTGATTTTCCATGGAAGAAGCGAGGCTGAGGACCAGGACTGGTTTGGAGAATCAGAGTGAGTCTTATATGCCACGGATTTTAAAGGGAGGCCGTCATGGTGTGTTGAACACTGAGAGTCTCTCCACTCTCCCATTTAGCAAGGTTGTGTGTTGGATGGTTAGGGGACCTGTTTAAAGACTGGGTAGGACTGGGTAGGACTGGTGTGTGGCCTGCATCTCAGCTATTGGGTCTCTGTTGGGTGTTTCCGC